TAGGTCACAACTTTAATTCTTATATTCATGCAATTTACAAGAAAGCTTGTGATTTGAGATCTGAAATCATCGATTTCATTCATGCAACAAATTTGGAAGTAGGGATGAGTTAAATGGTTCTTTAGTAAATTTAATAGCGTTTCAAAACGAGTTTCTTACAATACCTAGGTAAAAATACTTATACTAGTCAAATTAAGTCGTTATTGAATTATTACTGTGATTTGGAATTGTGTAGTGTAAAAAAACCTTTAGTTCCATTAAGCTTGAAAAAGACTGCATTAGCATTAGAAAATCTCAGCAAAAAATCGTTAGAACTTGGTTTATAAATGGGATCATTATAATTTTGTACAGGTAAATTTGCATAAAATTAAAGCAGCATTTTTTTGATATGATTATTCCAATAATAAGATTTTATTTTTTGAGTCAGTTAAGTGCAGAAATGATTTTCACCATAAATCACAGAAACTTGAACAGTTCTTTAGTATGCACTTTATCCTGAAAGTGGTATAGATATTTCAAAATACATTTAGAAGTGTATTTGATGCCTCTAGTTCAATCAAATGTCAATTCAGTACATTGAATATAAAAACCAGAAAGCATTTGCAATATTTCTTAATAACGATACACAGTTTTAAGTTGGTTTATTGAAACATTTGTTGTATTTGTTACCACATGAGGTTTAGTTGGATTGTTTTCTGTAAACATCTACCATTTATCTGTGATGATGACCATAACTGAAAAATAACATTGTGTAAGAGTTCTCTTGAAAAAGGTTGAAGAGTGAATAAGTATATTGCCTCTGATCTTAACACAAATTATCTATAATCTAATAAAATGGTGGAAAATACTGCGAAATTGTTTATTTAATCGAGTTTTGTATAATTCTTCAGTTTTATTGGTGACTTAAATCCGTGGATTCCTAATGTTTCAAACATGCATTACTTAAAATGTGAGGTTTGAAAATCCCAATGAATAAACAACTTTTATGGATAATACGATTTTTAAGAATATTGTTAAAAAATCTCAAAGTTTACCAAAAAAAAAGCACCTGGACAAAACAAGGCGTTTTGATTTCGCTGCGTATATATGACGCGTTAGACCGTCAAATAAGTAAGATAATTTTATAAATCTCCAATTATTCCGTAAGTGATTGATTCAGGGCACTATATAAAATACACATTCCATTCTGTGGCGACAGATTTCTGTACCGGATATTGGTTCTTCATTACATTGCACTTTACATACAGAAAGTAATCAATCGAAATGAACAGATTCGTTTTATAATATTGGTTTGTATCCCGTGGGCTCAGGGTTTCTAAGGCATTTGGGGAGGAAGAAATATACACAGAGGAAATTCTTTCTAGATATTAGATATTGTCATTACAATGAAATTTTCGTTTTGTACAAGTATCTACAACCGTAATGACGGGTGCAGTTTCTTTAAAAAAAATCGTCTAGAATGACCAACAGTGAAGATCTATCTTTTATTCTTTTTCAAGAGAAACCCATTATCAGCTTCAGACAGAAAAACACCTAAAATAGATACGTATCATTTTGTGTTGACATTAATAAGCCATTGTTTCCTATCAAATATTATTACCAAACTTTGGCACGTGAACAACAAATAAAATTTAATTAAGAAGAATACAATTATTTCAAACCATAAATACGTTTTGTTAAACATAATTAAAGATAAAAAGTCTGATGTTTTTTTTCTTATACACAAATTTATAATATTATTAGCAATATTATATTTGACAGTAATTGAAACTTTTTTCCCTTCGAACCAATGTCAATATCCATATCCATATTTGACATTTCGTTTTATGTAGTGTTGATATGTTCCAAGTCCGAAAGTCTCTCTCTGCTCTGTATTTACCTGATGGCTCCTAACCCAGAGTTAACTGGTATTGCAAACGTTAGTATCCCTTATACTCTCAACAGCAGCGTCTTTTAGATCACCAATTTCTGTAGACTGTAATTATTAAAAATTCCAGTTGTGTTAGAGCCAGGTCATTGGTAATAATTGGTTTGATGTGTTTCTCTAATTTTTATTTTAAAACAAAAAACAAGTTCAAACGATTCGAAGTACAAAACAAAAGTAGAAATCCAATATAATATATATGCAATACATTTGTTTGCAGCAAATGAACTATTCATATCAGAAATTATATCAATTATAAGTGAGTAAATGTTGCATTCAAGCACCAAACATTTAATTTTCACGAAGGTAACACGAATGATCTAGTCAGTCATCTTATTTCGGATTTATTTAGTTGACTATATTCTTTAAGACAAATCATTTCGTATATTACTCATGTATACTAAGTTCTTAATTTCCCTCTCGTAAGAAGTATTAGGCTTTAATCTCGGGATCAGCTGACGATTAGGAGATGAGAGAAACATTAAGCCCTCTTTAATTGGCATGAAAGCATAAAGTATGAAATAGCATGTAATCGCAGGTATTTTGTTTACTTGCTTGGTATTTCACCAGACAAAATGTGGCTGAAGCTCATGTGTGATAATATAATTTATTCAGTGCAACTTACATTCGGTAGGTAATGATGATGTTTACATTTTTATATTTTATAAGAACTTTAAATGTCGTTTCTCAAAAACTTTAGGATGTTTGTAATTATTTTATTTGGTCAATCGCTAAAATTGATTTTAAATCTAGTTTTGATAATCAATTAGAATTTTTAGATTTTACCGTGGTTCAAATGTTGGTTAACACAATTCATCACTTTGTATAGAGATGACTGATCACAAACCACATTTTCATTAAGTTCATAAAACAAGAATTACTCGTTTGACTGACATTTATTGACAACTGAACTTGGCTTTAAAAGATTACCTATAAAATATTATATATATGATTGTCGAAAAATTAGAGAAAGGATTTAGATTCTTGTTGATGTAGTTAACACACTGACTCCACCATCAATACAGTTTTAGGGCCTAAAAGTTTTAATTATTAGATATTCTTGTAGAGATTTTCAGGAATGATTTTTCTAGATTTTTACGACAATCAATTTTTGTTGTTGATTTTTTATTGCAAAAAAATGATCGGAATTAATCTTTTGAGATAGGACAATGCCCCAGGTTTTACAAATCAAAGGAAATTGCTAATGAGTACAATCTATGTATTCGACAATGAACATCAGTCATGTTGACGTTAATGAGTAGAAAATTTTTAATGAACTAATTTCACTAATGAAGAAAAATTTCATGATATTGATTTTGTTTGATTTCATAATTAAGAACGTTTACCTGCAGACTTTGGTATAAAGAATAATGACTGGTGTTAAAGATAAAGTAAAGCAGATTTTAAAAAAAACATGAAAAATCTCATCTTGATGAATGTCTGATCAAAAAAGCACTTTCATGCAAAACACGTGAATATCGTCATAGACAAAATAGTGGCCCATCTGACATGCACGTTACATCACAAAAAGTCTATTTACAACTATTATAGAAAACATAGAATGGGACAATAAAAGCATCCCCAATACACATATAATAGCTGGAAAATCCCGTTTGAATCCCTCTAACTTTCTGCTGAAATTTGATCTTGTACCACTTTAAATGTATCTGTTTAGTGTTTTATAACAACTAGGTTGTGAACGCCCTGAAACCTAATGAAGAATAACCGGATTTTAATAACATTCGTCCCGGAAAAACATTCTATCATTTCCACTCATTTGTTTTTTTTTTTGTGTGAGAAAGGAGACTATTTCTATTTCGTGAGATTCTGCCATTTCAAAGCTCATTCATTTTAACCACAATTCTTATAATCTCATCTTTCTTTAGAAGTTGCAGTGATTTGGAATTGGAAAAGAAATCCCAACTACAAATTGATTTATTTTTTCCGAGCAGAGTTCTCTTAAAGGAAGCTCTTGGCAATATAATTATCAATTGGAAATCAAAGTGGAACACGTACAAATGGGGTTATTACAGTCTGATGTAATATCAAACAACATGATGGTGCCATCTGAGCCTGCTCTCTGTTGTGGTTCTGAATTCTTAATATTAGGTCCCATCTGCATGGAAAATAGAGGATTTGTTCACAAAAGTATATAGTACAGGATTATGTGCAGTGCCACTATAGAACAAATGATTTTGGTAGCTTTTCGTTATGTTCACAGGATAACTGTTTGGATATTGGGTTAAATCAGCGAACAAGTTATTTTTGGTTCATTATGCTATCGCAAACACTTTAATATTGTGATCAAAACAAATGTTTCCAATTTTAGGAAATCGATAGCGTAAACATGATCATATGGTTTTATTATATAAGTTATTCAAATAACACACTATACTGATTACTGGGTCGTATAACTTGCTTAATGTTAGGATATCTAATATATTAATGTGTGATTATTCCAATGTTACTTACATATATCGAGTTATTGTTTTTGTTGTATAAGGTTTACTAATAGAATTTTGTGTGCATTTCTTGATAGTTCATTTAAAATATTAGACGGTTATATACAACAGGTAGGCTACTTGCTACGATGATCAAATGAACTTTAATATGGTACCTATTTCTTAACCCATGAACTAGAGCAGAGCCGTAGATTCTAAAACATGTCGCATTCAGCTCAAAGCCAAAGTCAATTTTTGTGTACCATTGAAAGAATCCGATGTGTTTTATAGGAACTTAATATTTGTTTGTGTCTTCTGCTGAATGGAACTTTTCATTTGATCTAACCAGATTTCTTTTCATAAAATATAGTTCATATCTATCCATTTATTGTTTCCTCTTAAACCAGATTGCAACATAACATAACAGGACGTAGAGTTCAATGTAAAATTCTGTGTAATTATTTGGTTGTATATTTCAGACGCTGTCATCATTAATGACCCAACAAACTCAAGAGACAGATTACAGGGATTCCGCCCAGACCCTCACCCAGGAGAGTAACTATGGTAGTGAGGGCAACTTTGTACCTGAACCGGCCGAGGAAGAGACCCACTTTGATCGTTATGACCAATCGCTGTGGGACAGACATTTGGAATATATACTAACATGTAGTAGTTTTGTTGTTGGGATTAAAAATATTCTTCAGTTTCCAACACTGACAGCCAAAAATGGAGGCGGTGAGTAGAATTTTGTTAAATATAATATATGATTTGAAATAGCGATGAAATGAACTGTGTCTTTCGGTCCAGTAAAGGCGTCAATATCTTCAATGCCAAAGAGATCAAGATACATAAATCTTGAAAAATCCTGAAAATACCACATACATTCTGATTACTGCCTTCCAGAAACATTTACACGTACGTCTAATGCCTAAATGCCCTTACCCCTAGTATAAGCATGACAAACTAGATGGTTCATAGATGTCTAACTTTGACAACAAACAGTTTTTGATGCTGTTTCAGTTAGAACGTCTTATTTCTAAGGCTTAAGTGGCATTGTGGTCTGTGGTACAGGAGATTTTTTTCCTCGCTAGTTAAATGTATTTTGAATATTATTGTTCTTAATTTTAGCCTTTATATATTTAGGAGCGTTTTATTTTGTATACCTATTATTGGTATGTATATTGGGAGTTCCTATCCTATACCTAGAGATGTGTATTGGTCAATATGTACATGGTGGACCAATGAAAGCCTGGACTGTCATGCCATTAGCTAAAGGTAAGTTTTCAGTCAGCTCTCTCTTGATGTTATACATTGATATTGAAGGTGTTCTGTAAAGAATTTATGGTTTGTGGCTACAAAGACTTACAAGACATTATAAATGTACTTCTAATTTGATTTCATTTGATATAAGATTTGCTAACGATATCCCCCCACCCTTACCCTTTAACTCCCATGAAATTGAACAACCAGTATACACAAAACAAGAAGTAGAATACATTTTAAATACACTGGAAAACAAGAAAGCAAATGGACCCGATCAGATTAGCAATCAAATCCTGAAACACTGCTCTGAATGTCTGTCAGCACCCCTCTCGAGACTATTTAATATCTTACATTCTTCATCTATCTACCCGAACGAATGGAAAATTGCCAACGTTGTACCAATTCATAAGAAGGGAGACACGTCCTTGTACTTAAACTACAGACCAATCTCCTTGCTAAGCTCTCTCGGGAAAGTTTTTGAAAAATGCATGTTTAAGTACATCTACAAGTACAATTTCTTGTGTGAAAACAACATCTTAACATCGTTCCAATCTGGTTTCAGACCTTATGACTCTACCATCTATCAACTGATTGACATCAGTGACTATATCCTGAGAAATCTTGACGATGGAACTGAGGTAAAGGCAATATTCTGTGATATCAGCAGGGCCTTTGATCGCGTCTGGCACAAAGGTCTTTTATATAAAATGTACCAACTTGGTATAAGAGGCCAGTTTCATTCGCTCCTCAGCAGTTACCTCGGCAACCGAAACCAGGCTGTTGTTATAAATGTTATAGCATTCCGACCTAAAAATCATTCAAAATGGCGTGCCTCAAGGTTCAGTTCTCGGCCCTCTCGTGTTCCTCATATACATAAATGACATTGTTAATAACATCAACGCCAATATTCGTCTGTATGCTGACGACACGTCCCTGTAGTGTACGTAACAATTGAAAACCCACCAAGAAATTTTAAATCACGATCTGCAAACAATATCTAAGTGGGCAGACGACTGGAAAGTGATTTTCAACCCTGCAAAGAAATCTACCGCCACAGTTCCAATCAAATTCAGAGATCAAACACTAAATGATACGTACTACCACAAACATCTAGGACTGCACTTTGATAGATCAGGATCTTGGACAACACATATTTATTACGTAGTTTCAAATGCTAGTAAACTTGTTGATTGCTTTCGTAGTCTTAAATATCGTTTGTCCCGCCGATCTCTAAATATTATATACAAAACCTTCATCTTGCCAACCTTTGATTATGCAGATGTCGTTTGGGATAACTGTTCCACAACTGACAGTGATAAGCTAGAAAATCTACAACGTGACGCACTGCGGACTATCACCGGGCTTGTCCGGGGTACATCGCACGCTCGTCTCTACAACGAATCAGGATATATCCCACTTACAGAAAGACGTAGACGTCATAAAATAATTTTATTCTATAAAATGGTCTACAGACATGTTCCTCCTTACTTAAGTCTCCTTGTCCCACCAACAGTATCAGCTGTTAACCCTTATCCATTCCGCAATCAAGACGAATTAAAGGGAATTCCATCAAAGTCTGTCCAATATGAAAATTCTTTCCTACCGTCTGCAGTTGAGTTATGGAATACACTACCGAACAATGTCAAACTATAGCCCCATCAATCCATGATCTAAAGCAACGTCTAACAGAAAATGACTTAAAAGTACCACCCTATTTTTATTTCAGTAATAGATTTGCAGAAATAATTCACTGCCGTCTTAGGCACTCAAAGAGTGATCTAAATGCCCATAAATGCTCAATGTTTATATCTGTTGACCCTAGATGTCTATGCTGCCATTTTCTTGAAGATGTTGAGCATTTCCTACTTTACTGCAGCAGATACAAAAATATAAGGCAAAACACTATTGGAAACCTTGATTATTCGTTAAAACAAATTCAAATACTTCTTACCGGTGACGAAAGCCGCTCTAACTCTGAAAATGAAACTATATTTAAAGTGGTACAAGAATTCATTATAAAATCAAAACGGTTTAAGATATTGTCATAAATATCTGATACTTGTCTAGGATAACCAGCATGATAGCATATCTCGGATGTACTTACCACCGCCATCTTTGAACTCTATAATAATGTTCTGACTCTATACTCACGTTAGCCTCATACTCTGTTATTCTGACTCCATACATACTACTGTTAGCTTCATACTTACCACTGTTATTCTGACTCCATACTACTGTCAGCTACATACTTACCATTGTTACCCTGTCTCCATACTACTGTCAGCTACATACTTACAATTGTTGTACGGACTCCATGCTGCTGTTAGCTTCAACTTACCACTGTTATTTCTGAACTCCATACTACTGTTAGTTTCAAACCCACAATTATCCTGACTCCATACTACTGTTAGTTTCAAACCCACAATTATCCTGACTCCATACTACTGTTAGCTTCAAAATTACCACTGTTACTCTGGCCCCATATTACTGTTAGCTTCATACTTACCACTATTATTCTGACTCCATACTACTGTTAGCTCCATACTTACCATTGTTACCCTGTCTCCATACTACTGTTAGCTTCATACTACTCTACACCACTTTTAGTTTTGTAACTCCACGCGATGGGTCTCATTCATTCACTCCTTTATCTTTTTTTTCTCATTTTAAGAGACTCATGTCTATCATACGACCCACGGTACCACACACTTATCCTTTTCTAGATCTCTCTGTCCACAACCCTTTCCTACCACTCTCTTTATAATGTTACCATGTTATTTAGTATTAAAAACCAGGACTTAAATATATTAACTTATTGCCCTATTCTGTTCATTTCTAATTTTTAATTTGTTTCATGAAATATATCTGTAAACATTGACCTTTGTCCAGCGAGGCAGATTCAAATAAGCATTATGCTTCTTTCTGTATCGCATATATGTACATTGTAAAATTTATCTGTAAATAAAGAAATACTGTTTAAAAAAAAAAGATATAAGATTTGAACGACATATAGAAGCGAGGGGCACATATAACAAAACACAAGACAATATTATGGAATATAACACACTTCTTTAATAAGGTTGAGCACAAAACGTTTCAACACCCAGAATAGGCCTCCCCTTCATAGGTCCTACCAGCTACAAAATAAGACGCCTCCTGAAACAACAACTATCCATAGATTCATATTTCACCCCAGGTACCGACATGAAATTACTTCTGGCAGCTAACGGCAGACCTAGGTCCAACAAGAAACCTGACCCCAGTGGAGTTGTATATGAGATACCATGCAACTGTGGAGACATTTACATAGGCGAAACATGCAAAACCCTCTCCACCAGAATGAAAGAACATATCGCCTCCACCAAAAACGAAGATGGAAAATCGGCTTTATCTGAACACCCCATAGTATTTCCAAACCACAAAATCCAATGGCAAGACCAATCCGAGAAGCTCTAGCTATTCAGATATCAACCGCGACAATGGACAGTACATTTCCAATATATCCCCCCCCCCCCTCCCCCCACCCCATTCATTACATGTTTCTTCCCATCATTCTCCTATTTTCCTCCCAGTGTCTTCCTCAGCATATCTCATTAGCTTATATTTGCTCAGTACCTGCTCAATGACTTCACATTGTCACCTCACTAGTTTTAATACCCTTTTATCTATTGTCTCTTAATCACTTGTTATTACCCTTTTAACTATTGTCCCTCTTAATCTCTATATTGTTTCTTGTTGGTATATATTTTGTTATGTTTTATTCTCTTGCCAAATTAAAATGCCACCTCACGGACTCCCGCTCTGTGATTCCCTCTTTCGAAGCCTCCAACTACCAACTACTTCCACTACCAACAACTACCTAGTTTGCGATATCAGCATCCGCTGGAAACGAACGTTGACTTGTCATCTACCTACCCATTCTCTTGCCATTACATCTGATGACGATACGTATATATTGTGTTGAAACGTTATGTGCCCAACCTTATTAAAGAAGTGTGTTATATTCCATAATATTGTCTTGTGTATTGTTATATGATTTCATTTGGCTTCAAATCAAGAATAACATCCGCAAGAAGCAGTTAAGTTGTGTTTTCGGAAGTAAAAAGTCAAATTGAACTTTTAAAACACGTACATGCCCTTCCTCGAATAATTTCTTTCCTTAGCTTCCAAACCGATTTGGTTAAAATGCCACATGTATTCAGACTTGAACCTTTCAAACATGATTTATGATGGAACAGGCATCTGGTACTATAAACAAGTTATAAATGTAATATATGATATTTAGATGTTTCAGGTTAAACTATAGGATGATTTACTACCAATTTATACAGTTGATATGTAATAGATAATACAATATTTAGGTTGAAAACACGTGTATATAGATCTGGTCTCTTTTTATACCAATATTTTTGATTTTCTCAGTATTCTTTATATTTACCGTTTTTTTGTAAGACATTATAGAAGTAAGGAAGTCACATTAAATCACTAATATTTCCTTTTTTTTCTATTTCTATATGGATATACTACTAATAAATTTATGACATAATATATGGTACGAAACACAAATCGAGGCAACATTATCAAGTAAAAAACATATAACTTGATAATATTACCTGTATGTGCTTTGAAACGTAAAATGATAATTTGTTGCAATATCGTTGTAAAATCTTATTTCGGATTGTTGTCCAATTATAGGACAGAGTTTTCCATTAGCACCTTGTCAAGTAAATCCTGTAAACGGCGTGTCATTCTAAAAAAATACATTTGATTAATCAATGCGCAGAAACACGTACCAATCTGAAACGTTCGACTTTTAATTTCACCAATTTAAAGTTTAGATTATCTGATGACTTAATGTAGACAATTCTGACTTAAAAGGCTCGAAGTTATAATAAATCATTATTGCATTTAATCAAAGATGGTTGTCCTAGTATCACAGTAACCGAACCATGAAAAATATCAAAAATATAGCTCGATAAGCATTCTGTTCATTTTTTTTTTTGCATTTTTTTGCAGGTTTAGGATATGGTATGTTGGTGTTATGCACATTGATATCTATGTTTTATAATACATACAGCGCCTGGGCATTGTTTTATCTTTTTTCTTCGTTTTCATCAACTTTACCATGGGAGGCAAACCAAGCAGGTAAGCCCCTTATCCTCTTCTGTTCGACAAAACAATCACCCCAGATGACGTCACTATCATAAATAGATTTGCTGTTGTCGGTGATCGTTACATACAAAAGAGGGAGATGAAGCAAGCAATTTTCAGAAGAAATGGTATACAATGTATAGGAATCATCTGGCAACGAGACAGTATGGAGAAGTGGACAATTTTAAGATTCTTAGCCAAGAATATGTACAATGATATGTGTCAGCGTGACCAAACAGACCAAACCTCATGTTTCAACTATTATAATCCGTCTGCTTGTAAGAAATAACAATCATTGGCTGGAGCGTTCAAACAAATTTCGTACTTACTTATCAGTGAAATAACGAAGGACTTTATTTGTTTTTCATACTTTTCTGATGCACTTATTCACAGCATGCGATGAGCACTTGATACCATTAGAGGAAATGTAAAGGGTCAGGAATATAAAAGACCATTTGAGTCAACACTCTTCATTCATTTAAAAATAATCACATTAACAACAGGCTAGCAGAACGGTTCAGACACACTGTGTCACTTTTAGAAATTAATTTAACCAAACTCAACGCAATTTCTGGTAATAGATTGTCTTTTGTCTGTATTATTTGAACAAATAATGTTCCTGGCTTCTGATCCAAGAATGAAGTACGATGAAATTTAAATTGAATTCTTCTAGGTCGGATTGTTCCCAGAAGTATTGCAGTCTATTTGAGTTTGTTAAAATAAGATTTATAGATAGGACAAAGGGTCTGAAATACCGACTGTTGTTTCTATTTAGAACATGAAAGACTGGTTATTTGAATTATTGAATACAATAGTCTGGTAGGCGGACAAAAGTTGATATTTTTGTTCAGAAAGTTATAAAGTAGACTTTTGAAAAATATTACATAACAAAAAGTGAGGGTTTAAATCATATTTCAGAAATACTTGAGTTGTTAGCTCAGACAGTTCAGAAAGAAGGCTTGAGATATCAGTTCTGAGAGTTATATCACGGTGCAGAAATTAGGCTAAAGATATCAGTTTTGAGAGTTATATCACGGTGCAGTAATTAGGCTTGAAATATCAGTTCTGAGAGTTATATCACAGTGCAGTAACTAGGCTTGAGATATCAGTTCTGAGTGTTATATCACAATGCAGTAACTAGGCTTGAGATATCAGTTCTGAGAGTAATATCACAGTGCGGTAACTAGGCTTGAGATATCATTTCTGAGAGTTATATCACGGTGCAGTAATTAGGTTTGAGATATCAGTTCTGAGAGTTATATCACGGTGCAGTAATTAGGCTTGAGATATCAGTTCTGAATGTTATAGCACCGTGCTGTAACTAGGCTCGGGGTATCTGTTCTGAGAGTTATATCACAGTGCAGTAATTAGGCTTGAGATGTCAGTTCTGAGAGTTAAATCACAGTACAGTAACTAGGTTTGATATTTCAGTTCTGAGAGTTATATCACGGTGCAGTAACTAGGCTTGAGATGTCAGTTCTGAGAGTTTTATCACAGTGCAGTAACTAGGCTTGAGATGTCAGTTCTGAGAGTAATATCACAGTGCAGTAACTAGGCTTGAAATATCAGTTCTGAGTGTTATATCACAAGACAGAAACTAGGTTTGAGATATTTGTTCTGAGAGTTGTGAGTTACAAAACCGGGTGCTGGTTTATTGAGGGTTTCCTTCATTTTAATATATAGTGATTCTGTCAGGTATTTTCAAATATGTCGGTTTAGGGGATGTCGGTTTACGGGGAATGCGGTTGCAAAGTATAACTTAGATAGATTATCGTAGATTAGAACAAGGTTTTTGGTATCAGCCCAGAACTTTATAATTCAGAACACCAGGCGTGGGGTTTATGTTCAGGAAATTCAGTGTTCAACAGCAGGACTTGAGGTATCAGTTCAGAGAAGTATCATATTTCAGAAACAAAAATTGAGATATGGGTTTGCTCCAGAATAAATATCACAGGTACTACAGAAACTAAAAGGCGAAGTTTTTAATCCTTGTCGGTTTCATAACAAAGTTAGTATTTATAATAAATATAGATGAATATTCTTATTGATGGTATGTCAGACTGGGAATTAAGGATGGATAGATAACGGAAATCAATGTCGGAAAGTAGCGAAAATCCCACTTAACGTGTCCACATAATACGAGTAATTCATTTATAACCTTGAAACGAGATTATTGTTAAAAGCCACACACTTAATCTTTTTAAACTTCATCGATTTACAAATTCTTTAACTTTCTTCAAGAGAAACTCTTATATAATATCATAGGTATATCTTTTCAAACAAACATACCCTTGGGATAAAAACCATGCAAAAAATGAAGAAATAACACGATTCAGAACCAAATATATATACATCAGAAACAAAACAAAATTAAAAGTAAGTAAATAACCAAAACTTCAGAAAAAAATATTCAAAAATTTAAACAAAATTTTAATTCGGGAACAAAACGAACATTGTATATAAATATGAAATGTATTTCTTGAATTTAAAAAAATGATAGTTTAGAGACAAAATAAATATTCTGAATAGAAGTGTCAAGAAAGCAGGCGGACTTTAGAAAGTATGCTTCAGAAACCAAAATAAAAACATACTTTAGAAACAACAAACATACTTCAGAAACAACAATATACATTAAACAAAAATGAATAATGATATGAATGGAGTTTTACCTCCTACTTTTCTGCATCATGTGGGCTAATGAAGATGGGCAACGCCATACATGGTGCAATGAGGGAAATTTTGCCAAGACAGCGGCATTAGCCTGCTCCTTTTTGATTTTCAACTGTCGAGGGATCTTTAACACAGCCTTGTAGCACATGGGGCCTCGGTTTATTGTATACATTTAAACAATACAACTGGTTGTAGAAACATGCATATCATCAACTCAGGATATAATGATTGTCGTTTTAAATGGATAACGCAATTTTAAGCGAAAAGGCTAATTTAGTTCTAGATTCTAGAGGGCGAGCAATTCTTTAGTAATTTGTTGATTTCCATTTCCATTTGCATAGATGCTTTATGCTATCACCACATTCCTGTCCACACCGTACATACAATAATATATAAAATCTCCATCCCTTTAACTTGTCAAGATAGACATTTTAACATTTTCAAAGTCTGATCAATATGCTGTCAATGATTATTATATAGATTCGGAACAAAAAATGACAGATATCATAATTGGACAAATTACTAGGCCCATATTGAATTATCTATACTTTCAAAATAATATAGGGCCATGAATAATTTCAGTTGGAGTGGGTGTTTATTGAAATAATTATACTATTGTATTCACAGCGAAATGAAACATCCGCTTCTATATAACTATTTGTCTCGACCAGGAAAGAGGAACTCCGGGAAAAGTTTATGTGTTCGAATACTATACAGCATCCCACTCTCACAGTGTGTAGAATTGGTGTTCACCCCAACAGAATTCTCTGTTTCTGTCTCTTACCCGGTTCCACATAATTATCTCTTTACCTCTGCCCCCAAAAGGAAAGTATCAACCCGGTAACGCCCAACAGCAACGGAAACCAGCCATTTTCAATTAGACTTCAATGATTTATTTTAAGATGTAATGTTATTTTGTAATGTAAGATGTCGAACTAGAAAACGAATAATGGTTAAGCTAAACATCCCCTTAATAAAGATATCGATTTTCTATTATGTTTATATCAGAATGTTGGTGATTTATGTGTTCATTAATAGGGTTTGATCTACATTACGTAACATTCTATTCTTCTTAATTACAATTAAACCAAATGTATTGTCATCGGAAATACTCCTCTCCAGTTACACTGAGTTCTTCTCAGTGAGACTCAGTCAGGTTATATTTTGTTATCACTACACTTTCCGCCATTGTACATGTAAATCGACTAATCTCCAACAACCGACAACCGAATATTCCTAAGCCAATTATGAATTTTTGTACCCCCTTTTGAAGCCGATGGTAATCATATTTTCTTATATTTTATTCTGCATGGTTTCGACAGAAGTCTCACGGGCGTAGCTCATTTGTAAATTTCGTTGTATTTCAGATAATGTCACCACATCTGAAGTTCCGTCGATGATTAGGGCTGCTAACAAGTACCTCTTGTAAGTGTTAAAGATTCCTTCTATCGTTTGAGGGCTATAGGTTTTCTTTAACCTAGACATATAACTGGATCGATACTCTGGCAAATAAGAGTCGTTTTCGGGCAGGGGACCAACTATTTGTTCTCTTGGTCAAATTTTAGTATCCAATATACCATGATATGACCATGTACATCACGTTAAATTTCGATAGTCGATTGTCCCTTGTCTTGGAAGACCTTATCATCTTCACTGGATATTGATGTCCTTGAAAATGTGCTAGTGATACAATCTTATACAAAAGCACTGTTGAGCATGGACATTTTATTGTGTTCGAGTTTAAGTTTAATCGTGATTATCTCCCTTTAGTCTTCAAGATATTAATCAGAAGACAATCTCTTATCTCTTGAACTTGCAATGCAGTGTAATTGTTATTTAAGAATCAAATTGATTGGATTCATTTGGTCCTCATGTTTATCTGCTAAAGGGTATTCGGAGTCAACATTACAATCGACGTACTAAATTGACCTTGTAATGACCTTCAGATTGGGACATCCATACATCCATACAATTTTGTATTTACTCTTGCAGTGAAGATATGCTTGATATATCAAGTGGTTTGGGTGATACAGGACAAGTCCAACCCTATATAGCAGGCTGTTTATTTTTAACATGGGTTGTGGTTGGCGTGGCTGTTTACTGGGGACGGATCTCAGTGGGGAAGGTGAAAGAAATTATTTGTACTTGGAGGTTTAAAAAAGAAGGAAGTCTGAAATTTAGGAAACTAATGCCAAATTTTCGAGTGTTTTTATGAAAACAGTTTTGCGCTTAATTATTTCTCCAGGTAATCTTGACATAGGTAATCAAAGCATCTGTCGCTTTACAAAGAAAACTTGCTTTGCTTTGAAAGAAATAGGTCAATAGTATGTTCAAACATTTTGTTACATACAAAGAACATTTAAGACTTTATATTCTTTCAGGTAGCTTATGTTACTGGTACTCTACCTGCAGTTTTATTCCTGGCAATTTTTAGCGGTGTTATTACATTACCTGGTGCTGTTAGTGGTGTTAAAATGTTTTTAACGCCCAAATGGCAAGTGTTAGGTAAACCTCAGGTTAGCTTATCTCACAAGTTTTAAGTAGATGTGTAGCACTGCTTTCAATCCTAATGCATATAAAACTGCGATATAGTTAGAGTCTGAAGGCAGATTAGGCAAAGTCAAACATTTTGTGCACGTTGATTTCAATTGCAGGTTGACATCAGGTGAGGCACTGAGTAAACCTGCTTTACTTTTAAACACTAAAGAAGATCAAATAGATAAAGTTTTTTCATTTCAAATTTAACCTCCTATGGGTGCGACTGGAATTCTTTTCACTAATTCATTAACAGCAATGAAACTAGTGTAGGGTTTAAGCTCCATGCTTTCACTTGATTATTCTAGATATGGTTAGATGGTGTTTTGATAGTATTAACTAGTATGGGTTGTGGTACAGGTGGTATTATCAATCTATCAGGATACTGTCACTTTCATAGTGGTTGTTTCAGGTAAGATATTGATAGTATTAACTAGTATGGGATGTGGTACAGGTGGTAAAATAATAACTGTATGATGTCAAGTCTTTCCTGTAAGGCAAGAGACTTCTGACTTCTTAGCTATTCTATTGCAAGGGCAAGTTTATTGTACAAAGGCTTAAATGTCAAGGGTTGTAGTCCATAACCCACAAATTTTAGTCAAGATTTATCTTTGAAGGAATGCTGTATTAACTGGTATATCTAATGTTATGGGATGTACACTGGCTGGATGCAGTATGTTTGCTATATTAGGTGTTTATACACAAATTATACAACAACCAATAAATACATTCAATATCTCAGGTATATATTTGTATATATTGCGGATTCCTTATCATTAAGATGAGGATGTTCAGGGACAAAATTGAGTTTTAGATTGGCATGTAGCAGAATTTTAGCTGATGTATTATCAATATATGAATGATATAATAGTCATCCAATTTTTAGTTAGATATATTAGTATATATAGGTATAGGATACTTGCAGCTCTACAAAAAATGTGTTTGGAAACAGTTTATAAAGAATAAAATCAGATAGAAATCCTCAGCCTCCCATAAAAAGTTTTTGCTTCTTTGCTATTGTTACAAGTGTGCCATAAAAAATATGTTCTCTCTTGAAGTAAATAAAGCTTTCTAATCCCTTCATGTTCATTTAATATTCCAGAAACAGAAATTGGTTTCCATCTTTTCCCAGCAATTAGTTTTTATTTGGAAAACTCAGCAGTATGGTCAGCCATTTTCTATTTATCAATATTTACAACTGGTATTGGTACTCAGATAGTATTTATTAGTACTGTTTATACTGGTTTTAGTCAACTTATTGGTGTACATACTACTCTGTGGAAAATTTCCAGTCTAGTGTTTCTGTTATCAGTATTGTATTTGATTGGATTGACAACTGTTACCCAGGTAAAACATGATGCTTCTGTTATAACCATATGTGGTGGATAGTGATTTCTTTCTTAAGACATTTTTCAATTTTCAATGCCTGATACCTGTTTACTTGATTATGATTAAGTATTTAAGTAATACAATTATCACCCATCTTATTCAGAAAGTCCCACAAAGTGATCCCCAATGTGTTGTTCAAAATGACAATGTATTTTTGATATGTATTAAAAGAGCAGATGCCTTGAAACTAATGTTGCAGTTATGATGACCCATTATTCTGCTTGAAGATGCATTATTAACATATATTAAATGAGTTCTGCTTCACAGATAACGTTTCTTACTATTGTTAGGCTGGTCTGTTTGTTATAACCTATCTTGATGAATTTATACATAAACTATCCATACCAATATTTTGTTTACTGGAATGTTTGATTATAACATGGGTATATGGTGCTCAGAGATTCCATAATAAAGTAGCTGATATGACTGGATCATCTGAAGGTCCCTTTATAAAGTGGATGTGGAAAGTCATCTGTCCAGTTTTCTTAGTGGTATATATTGATGATCTATAATATTTATATGATATTAAAAAAAAACTTCTTTTAAATTTATCATCTGCCATCCTTCAATGCTACTAATTTTCTAGTTGGAATATCTTTGACTATGTTATATTGTCCCTGAACATCTCAAATGAGTGTCTGAGAATTTCTCTTTGTTTTACAGGCAATGTTGGTTCTCACCATCATGAATACATCCTGTCCAATCTGTAAAGTAGAGAATGGTGGTAAAGAATGGATGGAACCATTTGGTTGGTTCCTATCATTAGTACCGGTTCTTATCTGTGTGATATATCCCTGTATAATATTAATAAAACATCGTACCAACTCTAGAAGGGTAAGTTATTGAAAGTGTATATTTTGTAATCAAACAGTTTTTCAGTTGGAATACTTTTAGAATATGACATACTTTAGTTTTACAATGCAAGGTTATTGAATGATAGTCTCAAACATGGTCAGTGCTTTTGTGGATTTGCAAAATTCACCAAATGTTGATGAAATATTGTTTATTTAGCCAAAAGGAAGTGTCCAGTTGTAAGATAGATCTCTCCTCTTTCCTTTATTGCCACGATCCTTAGTATAAAAAATGGATATTGTCAAAATCAATCAAAGAAAGAATTTTTGGAATAAGATTATGCAGAATTTTTTGTTGATTTTCAAACCTTTTTAATTAATCAAAAGATTAATTTGTTGATATTTTTCATTGTGCACATATCGACATATTCATTTGTTTGATTAATTGCATAATATATAACTGGCATAATGCATCAAATAAATGTTTCCTAATGTTTTGCTTAAGGCCAGACAATTATTTCACAACATGTACACATCTATTTTGGATCTTGATTATTGTGTGGTATTTTTGACAAGAAAGCTATATAATAATATCTTCTCTGTATTAAAGTGACACACCCACTTTGATTGTTGAAAATAATCTGGTAAAAATATTTTGAGGACTATTAAAGATTCAAAAGTTATGTAACAATATTTTTCTGGATAACATGGTCATCAAGATCTTTGTGTCCGTTGTCTTGCAATGTCAACTTCAGTCTGGATAGTGGAATCAAGCACATGCTAATTAATTTCTTTAATTTAAAAGACATGTGGGCACCTTGCTTTAAATGGAAAAGGGTTTATAACTATTTATGATTATGTGATAACTCCTCAACAATATTTAAAAATTTAATAACAGTCAATAAAAAGTTCAATTGAGATTTGAAAATTGAAATATAACCTTATTGAAACCTTCTTGATATTAGGTTGTTTATTATGACTGTGATACTTATGCATAACTGCAAAGAAAGTCTTGCTTTGAATATTAGATCAGAATGGGAGCAAAGAACTGCAGATATATTATCCTGTTTATCATTTCTGTTCAGCATTGAGGATCAAAATGACGGAGTAATGGTGACATTAATGAAATTTCTTATGTTATCTCTCATAAATGCTCATTTCATTACAAATTCACAAAATAAGATAAAAACTACTTAGTTCTGATTGATGTATGAAATTTGTTAAGATGATGTGAATGTATATAGAGGGCACACCTGATGTTTTCACATTGTTAGTGAATACCATATAGTCTACATTTTACTTTATGAAAATTTAGTGCTTTTGGATATAAGCAGAATCTGAATTGAGTTGGAAATGTGAAGATATTTTGTCAAGCAGGGAATTATGACCTTCGTTGAAGCCAGTAGGAATATATTTTTAAACTATGGAAGTTTATTTGTGAACATTTAATAGGTTAGTTTATAGCAATAAGTCTGGGTCTGTGTGGTTTAAAGAACTTTTCATCAAACAGTCACATCAAACAGTGATGTGCAAAAATGTAACCTTAAGAGAGCCAGAGAAGGTATTCTAACACAAAGTTAAACATTTTTAAAATACACGAATTAATAACTTTCATGATAATGACACATTTCTTGACAAAAAAATAATTCTTCTGTTTTTCATACTATCTTACTTTCTTACAAAATCAGTTTTGGCTGAAAAGTTTGGAGTCAATTGTAGAAAATAGCAAAGTAATAAAGATAACTTTGTGTGTACTCTGCTGACTTTCCCCAAGAAGAGGGTGTTTTATCTCAGACTTTAGTTGAGCCCATGGCATGGTTATCAGTTGTACTTGTAGAATTTTAGAAGACCAACTTTTCTGATATTGCATTTGTCACTTTCCATTGGTAAACTAGTTTCCCTTTTTTTACTGAGCTCTATCAAGTTGTTGCTAATAAAGCAAATATATAAATGTCATTTTAAGCCTAATATTTGATGGAAATCTCATTATTTTGGCTTCAAGTTAAGTATGCTACCTATCCATTTGGACATCAGACTCTAAACTTATCAATAACCCCTCATATATTTTTTGCCAAATATGATAAGTATTATGTAAGTTGAAACATTGTATATACTAATATAGATAAGTAATATAAAGCTGGGCCCTTGACAAAACATGTATTATGAATTATTAGAGCTAAAACATTAGATGAATACAAATAAACAATTGGCAGGTTTTTTGTGTGGTCTTTATGTTATTACAATGTAATTTGCTGGTAGATTGTTCTAGCATATTCTGGATATTGTGTCTCAATTTGGACCAAGGTAGTTATAATATACTCAATTATAACGATTACTCAATTTATGTACAAAGGATATATTATGTTTATTTTATTGATATTTATATTTTGATTGAATTTAGTATATATAATGGTATAGAAATGATGTATTGAATGTAATGTGTTTAATTATACATAAAATATGCATTTGGCTATTGAAATATTCTTTTGTTTATGCCTTTGTAATAAACTTTTGATCTGTTAAGTAATTGAAGAAATTAAGATTGTATCAGTTTGAAACAAAACAATCTAGAAAATGATTTTAAAGTAGTTTTTATATGCCCACATCTCTCTATGTTGGCACCCCTGTCGGTCCGTTGGTCCGTCCGTCAACATTTGCTGGTAAACACTCAAAAACTAGATTTCTTGATGGAATCAAATGAAATTCGGTATGTGTATACACATTCATAAAATGAAGATCAAATTTGAATTTGAGCTATTTTCGACCGTTAGAAGCAGAGTAATTGCCCTTGCCCCAAAATCTTGAATATGTACCATCCGCATGCCGTGGTGGGCGTATATGGCTGTGGTCCACTATCTTTGAAAGTCTTCCCAATGATATCTCAAGCCCTTGGTACAATTTTTATCAATTGATAATATCAGTACCAATACAAAAATGAAAGAATTTGATTATTCCAATGAAAACTCATAAATAATCACAGTTCAAGAAATAAATCTCTTCTCTTCATTGTAGAGATTGAAGAGGTTGCTGCAGACTCCAGCTGATTGGGGACCCAGAAGACATTGGTATGAGGAAGCCCATGGTAGTGAACTACCAGATTATGTTATCTGCAGCCCTGATGATTACCATCCAGCTAACGCCCTCGCCTTATTAACAGCCAACTTATACCTTCCAAATATAGCTGATATTATAACTTTAGAGGTTAGTTTATATTTATATACCTTCCAAATATAGCTGATGTTATAACTTTAGAGGTTAGTTTATATTTATATACCTTCCAAATATAGCTGATATTATAACTTTAGAGGTTAGTTTATATTTATATACCTTCCAAATATAGCTGATATTATAACTTTAGATGTTAGTTTATATTTATATACCTTCCAAATATAGCTGATATTATAACTTTAGAGGTTAGTTTATATTTATATACCTTCCAAATATAGCTGATATTATAACTTTAGAGGTTAGTTTATATTTATATACCTTCCAAATATAGCTGATATTATAACTTTAGAGGTTAGTTTATATTTATATAACAGACCACAGAAAATGTTAATATAAGAAATACTACTTTAAACCATACATTTGCCTGAATTATGTGAAAATAGAGCAGTCTAATTAAACTTTTATTTCTTATTTGCATTTATTTTAAATATAGCCAGTTCAGTTCTGGTCTTGAACATTCTCAAATTAACCTTTTGACCTAACCTAATAAACACAAAATGTTAGCGCTCCAGAGGGTACAAATTTGATTTGGTTAAAGCAGACATCAGAACAAAAGTTTGATCTAATTTGATTAGACTGAAAAATAGAGAATTTTGATTTCGATACGATAAGAATAATTAGAATCAATAAATATTGTTAAATTCAAGATATCAGACAAGGAAAGACAGGTTTTGACACTGAAAATAACAGTTGGTAATAAATATCAGTTATGACATAAAACAGTTATCATCTTTAAAAAAAAAAGCAGAGTTCAAAATTGTCATTGTTCCATATATCTGACAACTGTCAGCTGTCTTGTTGCAAAAGACAAATAGTTTAAAATGGCCTCTCAGGACTTGACATTCAAAATGTAATACCTCTTTTAACCTGTTGATTTCAGGTTTTAAATGAAACTGAATAAAGAATTAATATATTCATATTGATTAGTATTCACTGGTATTTAGATTTGTTAATTACAATAAAATTCTTTTATAACAAGTATTATTTGATATCATGTTTATTTCAAGTCATGGTTTAAAATTACAGCTTAATATTTGATACATTATGACATTTTTCTCATAAGGACCTTGAATTTATTATTCTTTTTACTGTCCTCAAATTACAGTTGAATAATGAATTATTTTAGCATAATTATACATAAAATTAGGGAAATTATTTACTTTTACTCATTGACACTAAAAATCCACGTAAACAAAATGTTAAGTTCACCAAAGCACTTCATGATGTATATATATTGTAAGCAATTATTTTAAATTCTGTTGCCAATTTTGAAGTACTTGTCAGTATAGTATGACTGAAGCCCCATAAAGGAAGTATTTGTTTGTATTGGTTGACTGGAGCTCTAAAAGGCAGAATTTGTCTTCCATGTTTAACTGGAGCTCCTAAGAGAAGTATTTGTCAGCCAAAGGCAGTATTAGTCAGCCATTTTTAACTGGAGCTTCAAAAGGCAGTATTTGTGATTGATGATA